CCCACCCTCTGCCCTTTCTCCCTCAGGTCCAGTGCCATCCTAGCTCCCTGGCTGCAGCCCCTCAGTCCTCTAGCCCAGCAGCCCACGACCTTGTACAAGTCCACATCCAAACCCTTACTCCTGTCTAAAACTGTTGAGAGCAGGAGTAAAGATCAAGGGTGGCATTTAAAAAACTGATGTCATTTCTGTGTTCTTGGGAGCATCAGGATTAATCTTCTGGACAGACTGCTCTTCTGTTGAGAAAAATGCTTTAATGGAGCTGTTTGTCATTCAAAGGTCAGGCGGGACATAGGCTGGGGGGCGGGGAGGGGGGAGGAAGGGATCCTTTACCAAGACAGTGTTATTGTGTAAATGACTGTCCCAGGGTGGAGAGGGCCCATTTTTGAAGAAATTGTTAGCATCTTGATTCAATGCTAAGAAGACTGGCAGTTTTCCCAGCCGCAGAGGGCAAAGGGAGGGCCGACCAGCAGCAAGATTGACCTTTCAGAGGGGAGCGGGTGGTGGTTTCTGATTCTTGGTGGCACATAGCTGGGTCTTGAGTGGGCTGGGGGTTTGCAGGATGGGCCGAGCAGGGGGCAGGTGGGAGGCGTGTCTTCAGGGGGCCTCTGTCATCACTCGGCATGGGCATGGAGGGCCAGCCACACAGGCATCTGTGAGGAAAGGGGCCTGTGGGTAGTCTCCATTGCCAAGTTGAGACACATCTAAAGGATCACCATGACGCATTTCCCCCATATACTCAATATAATAGGTGTGCCTGAGAAACTAATGTGACTCCATTTTTAAAAATAAATAACAGCAGCTTCTACCTCAAGGCTGTCCTAAGGAAAGGGGCGTGACCCTTGTCCTTGGAAAAACCCACAGAGCACTCCTAAGTATATACTCATCATGCTGAATTGTTTGTCTGTGAATAACAGGACAGGTCTGTAGTGCCAGGTGTCCCTGACTCAGTTAGGCTAGGGGAGGACCCATAGCAACCCCCTAGTAACCTCCAATCAGCATGTGACAGGGAAAATACCTGGGATGCCAGATGACCCCCAAGTAGTTTATGGTGGTTGATAACATGTTGGGAAACCATGTAGTTTAGCACGAACACTCCTGGTGGCCTAAACCAATCAGTTCAAATGAACCCCCCCTCTTGTATTAATCAATCACCCCTACCCAATTTGTTCCCGCCATTGAATGTGCTAATCAATGTTAAGAGTTGTTTGGGCTGGGGATGTGGCTCAAGAGGTAGCGCGCTCGCCTGGCGTGCATGCGGCTTGGGTTCGATCCTCAGCACCACATACAAACAAAGATGTTGTGTCCGCTGATAACTAAAAAATAAATATTAAAAAAAAAGAGTTGTTGTTTGATTTTCCTGCCGTATGGAATGATTTGCTGTGTGATGTTGTGATGCATAGAGTATCCCCCCAAAACCTATAAAATCTCATTGAACAAAGGACCGGGGCTCAGTCCCTGGGACCGCTGAGGCGGGAATGGTTGTGAGTCCAGGCTCGAGCTTGCAATAAAGACTCTTGTGTAATTGCATCGGATTCGGCTCCTGGAGGTCTATTGGGGTCCCACGAATCTGGCATAACATGTCCAGCTTTCACAGGCTAGAATAATCAGAGCCCACCTACCTCCTGAGCATGGGTGTGTCCAGGTTCTCTAGGGAGCCCAGCTCATCTCTCCCCAAATTTTAGAAAAACCCAGTGGGGTGGGTGCTTCCTCCATCTGAGGGGCCAGTCATGCTTCCAAATGCCTCATGGAGGCCTGGGGGATGAGCGTCTGTGCCCAACTGTGGGATGCGCCTGCCAAGTGGGGAGAGCGGGACGTGTGCCCACTGTGCTCCGGTGTCATATTAGGCACACCAAGTTAGTGGGCAGGGTCTCCACATGGCCTTTTCACCGGGAGTTGCTTGTCCAGCCCTGCTCCAGGACCCTGCTATTTCCCCCCACCCTCTTTCAGTTCCCCAGTCCTCTCTTTGGGAGCCTTTGAGCCAGGCTGCCTGGACTGCTTCTTTCCAATGTCTCTGGCCCAGGCCGTTCCCCAGCCTCAGCATCTGGGCCTCTCCAAACTGGCTGGTTTGGACCCAGGTGCAAAGGCAGGTCGGCCCACTCTCCACCATGGGAACACCATTACCTGGTCCTTTTGGTTTTTTTCCAAGGTGCTGGGCTTCCAACCCCGGGGCCTTGCACATGCTAGGCCAGCTCTGCCGCTGGGCGACACTGCTACCAGCCCTGGTGACTGCAATTTTTATCCCCTTGTCCTCATTTGCATTCTCCTGCCAGAGGCAACAGATCTAAGGGTGTTTAATGTGCATTTTTTTACATGCGTTTTCAGGTAATGCGTCTCTTGTTTATCTTCATAAATGTAATCTTATGTTCCTCTGCTTCTTTCTTTTTGTACTGGGCTCTGCATTATCCACCTACCTATCAGCTCTCAGCTCTCAGCTGTCAGCTGTGGTGCTGGGATGGAACCCAGGGCCGGTCCCTGTTAGGCAAGCACTCTTCCACTTGAGCTGCCCCTGGAGCCCCAGCACTAGGCTTCTAAGATCCCTCTTGTCCCCATGTAACAATGTCTAATTCACTGGGAATTACAATGTCTGTCGCCTGTTTTACCTGCTACTCCCTGAGGAACGCACTCAGGAGGCTGAAGACTCGCAGACACCTGGAACCAGGCAGCAATGGCCAATTGCATAAAAGCAGCCTGTGAGATTTTCTTTGGAATATTCACCTCAGAGCCACTGATGGGTGGCTAGAAATGTGTGCCACTTAATGAAGGAGGTAGGACATTACTCAGAATGCCCACGGCCCATCCCCGCACTCGCCCCCGCCTGACACAGCACTGCCAGCAGTTGGTATGCAGAGGGCTTCCTGATCTTGCTGACCCTTAAATGCAGATAACATCTCATTGTTTTATTCTGGCCTTTAGCCCAGCTCATTCATGATCTTGAGGACTTCCTCCCTGCTGCTGAGTGGGGTGCTTCTTCTCCGAGGACTGCTGCTGGCCCCTAGGGCCTCTTTCCTGTTGGGCTCACACAGTTTACGTCTCTCTCCCACCGTCAGCCTTTATTTCCTTGGTCTTATTTTTCCTTGGACAGAAATCTTTAATCTTGATATATTCAAATTCAAATGTTTAAAAAATGACATGTTTTATTAGTTTGAAATTTTGTTCGAAAAGTCTTTCCTCAATCCCAGGTCACAAGACATTCTCCTGTAGTCTCTTCTAGTATCTTTACAGTTTTATATTTCAAACGTAACTGACCTGCTTGACTTCGTCCTTGATGTGCATTAAATGAGGATCTGGTTCTATTCTTTCCCATGATGGAACTAGTTTTCCTCTTGCCACCCGCTGCACAGCCTCCCTTCACCTGCCTCTGAGGGACCTGCCCACGCAGCTGCCTCTATCTTGCTCCTTTTGCCTCTGTTTGCGGATCTGTCCTTGCTTTAATGACATGCTATCTGCATTGCCGTAGTTTTGGGGAATGTCTAGTAAGGCAAAAGTCCTGTCTGACTTTTAGTTCTTAAAATTGACCTAGCTATTTATTTACATTTTAGATTGTATTGAATTCTTAAAAAAAATCCAAATTGAATTTTTATTAGGGTTCAATTGAATTTAAAGATGAATTTGGAAAGAACTGGCATTTTCTAACATCTTTATAATGTTATATAGTTTACTTTAAAAAATATCTTTAGTTTGTGGGCTAGGCATGGTGGGGCACACCTGCAGTTCCAGTGACGAGGGAGGCTGAGGCAGGAGGATTGCCTATGTGAGGCTATCCTGGACAACTTAGTGAGACCCCCATCTCAAAATAAAAAGGGCTGGGGTTATAGTTCAGTAGTAAAGTGTCCCAATACCAAAACTCTTTTTTAAAATTTATTTATTTATTTAAATTGATAAATAATTGTATATACTTCCATGTACAATATATCTTAAAATAGTTACATGGTGTAATGGCTAAATTGAGCTAATTAACATATGCATTGAAATAGTTAATAATTTTTCTATGTGTGAAGGGACATTTAAAATATAATCTCAGCTACTTGGGAGGCTGAGGCAGGAGGGCCACAAGTTTGAGGGCAGCCTGGGTAACTTAATGAGACCCTGTCTCAGAAAAAAAAAAAAAAGGCTGAAGATGTAGCTCAGGAGAAGGATGCTTGCCTCGCAGGCAGTAGGTTAGGTCCTGGGCTTGATCTCCAGCACTGTCCCCCTCTCCAACACCCACCCTACTCACAGCCATTTCAAGTGTGCACACATGGTTATTAGTTATAGTCACCCTGTTGTATAACTTATTGTTGTATAACTCTTGAACTTATTTTTCTTAACTGCAATTTGGATCCTTTGACCAACATTTATTTTTCTCCTTCCTCCCCTCCCCAGGCTAGGAACACTCATTCTATTGGTCACATTTATGATTTCTCCACATGAGTGACATCATGCCGTGCTTGTCCTTTGGTGACTGGCTTATTTCACTTAACATGATCGATCTCCAGTCCCATTCATGTTATCTCAAATGACAGGGCTTCCTGTCATTTGAGAGGCTAAATAGTATTCTATTGTGTGTATACCACATTTTCTTTATTAATTCATCCATTGATGGACACTTAAAAGTAGATTCTATAACTGACTTTCGTGCATAGTGGTGCAGTTAAAATGTGAGAGCAGATATCCCTTTAACATATTTATTTCATTTCCTTTAGATATGTAATATTATGTGGTTGTATATAAGAACATGAACAATCGTCTTATTTAGATCATTGTTTATGTCCTTATTTTATTTTTTTCACGGATGGTCTCCCATTTCTGGGGATTGAAACCAATGGCCCTCTGCCACTGAGCCATATCCCCACAGCTTTTTTAAATTAAAAACATTTTTTTAAGTTATAGATGGACACAATATCTTTGTTTATTTTTTTACTGTGATGCTGAGGATCAAACCCAGTGCCTCACATGTTGGAAGGAAGTGCTCCACCACTGAGCTACAACCCAAGCCCCTGATTTTTTTTTTTTTTTTTGAGACAGTCTCAGTAAGTTGTCGAGGCTGGTTGAAAACTGTGATCCTCCTGCCTCAGCCTCCCTAATTTAGGGTTACGGGTGTGTGGCACTGCACCTGGCTTCCGGGATGTCTGTGATCCTCTGCTTCAACCTCCTAGTTTGGTTGCTATTGTGTGTGATATTTTTTCCCAACTATATTCTTTCAAATGTCAACCTGTAGAAAAGGGGAAAAAAAATAAAATGATGAGTATCCTTATACTTTTAACTTGAATTTACTAATTATTTTTTAAAATTTTAATATATGACAGTGGAATGCATTACTACTCCAATTACACATACAGAGCACAGTTTTTCATGTCTCTGGTTGTACACAAAGTATATTTTCACACCAATTCATGTCTTCATACATGTACTTTGGATAATGATGTCCATCACATTCCACCATCATTGCTAATCCCCTGCCCTCTCCCTTTCCCTCCCATCCCTCTTCCCTATCTAGAATTCATCTATTCCTCCCATGCTCCCCCTCCCTATCCCACTATGAATCAGCCTCCTTATATCAGAGAAAACATTTGGCATTTGTTTTTTTGGGATTGGCTAACTTCACTTATCATTATCTTCTCCAACTCCATCCATTTACTGCAAATGCCATGATTTTATTCTCTTTTATTGCTGAGTAATATTCCATTGTGTATATATGCCACGTTTTTTTTTATCCATTCATCTACTGAAGGGCATCTAGGTTGGTTCCACAGTTTAGCTATTGTGAATTGTGCTGCTATAAACATTGATGTGGCTGTGTCCCTGGACACATTGTGGTGCTGAATGCTTTGTAGTATAGTTTAGAATCTGATATAGTGATGCCACTTGCTTCACTTTTCCTGCAAAGGATTGTTTTTTGCTATTCTGGGTCTCTTATTTTTACCAATATTTTGCCATCTTTGCTTTCTCTCCCTCCCCCCCATACATTTGCACTTTTTTCCCTGAACTATTGAACAGTTCCAGATATCATGAACATTATTTCTTTCCTTCTCTTTCTTTCTTTCTTTCCTTTTCTTTCTTTCCTTCTTTCTTTCTTCCTTCCTTCCTTCCTTCCTTCCTTCCTTCCTTGTACTGGGAGGAATTAAACCCAGGTGCCAGGTTTCTGTTCTCGCTACTAAAAGGCTCAGGGGATCTAGTTAAACTGGGCTAACTGGGCTGCACGAAATAACCACACAAGAGACACAAATACCTTTTTCTTTGGGGTTGCTGTAACGGCTCCTCTGACCTTAAGGGTCAGCAGAAAGAGAGCTAGCGAGATCAGGCGCTGACCCCTTTTATTGAGGAGAGCTATTCAAATGAGGCAAGGGGTCAGGTTTCAGGGGGCTGAGTCTATCTTCATGATGTCCACTGTCAGCAGGTTGACTGACACCTCGGTAGGCCACACCCAAGGGTACAGTAAGAGAAGGGGACACACACACAAGGTGCTTCCATGGAATATCCTATCCTAAACAGGGCAAGGGGTTATATTACAAAGGAACAGGTGAGCATAGCTTCATCCATGGGGTGTAGCAAGACACACCCATTTCTGTGACTGAGCGCCTCAGCACCCAGCTGGGGAGTGTAACTCAGTCACCCGTAAGGTTGGCCTCCCACACTCAGGGGTGCTTTAACACTGAGATACAGCCCCAGTCCCTTAAATGTTTTATTTTGAGACGCAGTCTCACTAAATCAGGCCTTGAACTTGTGCTCTTCCTGCCTCAGTCTTCCTAGTGGCTGGGATTGTAGATATGTGCCATTACTGGGTATCTGTATTTTTAAAAAATGACATTTTCTAGCTTTTTTTCCCCCCTAGAGGTAGCAAAATGCTTTTTATTTATTTATTTTCTGGTGCTAGAGATTGTGCCTATGGCCTCACTCACGATAGGGAAGTACTCTACCAATGAGCTACATCCCCAATGACCTCCCCACTTCATTTTTTTTCTTTTCTTCCTGAGACAGAGTCTCACTAAGTTGCCCAGACTGGTCTCAGATTTGTGATCCTCCTGCTTCAGCCTCCAGAGTAGCTGGGATTATAGCAAGTTCCTTTATGCCCAGCCTAATTTGCTCTTTTTCTTCTTTGGGGAAATGGGTAGTCGTGGCATGAGGCAGGGGAAACTGGGGTGGGCTTCACGTAGGAATTGTGCCCTCAACTCTGCCTGGTGTGTCATCTCAAAGGGCTACTGCCTCCAGCTCCAAGTGCCACTAAGAAGGCAGGGAGCAAGGAGGTTTTCTTTCCAATGAAGGCATGAACAACGAGAGTGTGTGTGTGTGTGTGTGTGTGTGTGTGTGTGTTGCTGGGGATGGAACCCAGGGCCTCGCACATGCTAGGCCAGGGCTCTACCACTGAGCTATATCCTCAACCCAGCATGAGAAATGCTGTGGCTGTTCCTACCCATCCCTTCATATGTATATCTTTTTTATTTTTCATTAATTTTTTTTTTGTAGTTGTAGATGGACAGCATGCCTTTCTTTTATTTTTATGTGTTGCTAAGGATTGAACCCAGTGCCTCGCGCATGCTAGGCAAGTGCTCTGCCAGTGAGCCCCAGCCCCAGCCCCTGCACCTTTTATTTTTAATTGATTTGGATTCTGGGAGATTGTGGGAGATAGAGCACTCCGGGGTGCCTCAGGGTTTAGACAGTCAAATTGCTGTCTGCCTCCTCCTCTCTGAAGCTTGGAGGCTGGGCCTCTGGCTTTTGTAGCTCCAGCCTTGGGGGTGACTTGATATCAAGTGTGGTGACTGGTGCAGTGGCCATGGCCCAGGAATGGCAGGCAGGAGACCTGGGCCCATAGTCCTCAGTGCCCAGCAGACTCATGCGACTCTAGGAAGGTCATTCCCTGGGCCTCAGCCTCCACATTTGCCAAATGGGGATGAAATGGTTCCCATTTTCTACTTGTGAAGATTCAAGGGACTCAGGGTGTTGGGGGTCCCTCGTGACCTGATCTCTCTCTACATGAGTTTATGTGTTGTGTGCTGGGGACTGATCGCAGGGCCCTGCCCACACAAGCAGCACTCTACTGCTGGACTATACCCCTGTCCCATTTAAAGAAATATCTTTAAATACTTTGAAGTTATTTTCTTTCATCTTTTTTTAGATCCAGCCCTAAGTACTCTTTTGTTTTTGTTATACATGGTACTTTTACTTATTTTTTAGTTTTTACTTTTTTATGGTGCTGAATTGAATCATAAATGTTATGCCAGTGCTCTGTCACTGAGCTACATTCCCAGCTAAAAGGGTACTTAATATTTAATA